AAATTTCTGCTACCGGTTCTCCAGAACTGGTCAGAACCTGCTGAATACCACCTCTGCCTCCTCCCCCCGCATGAGTGGGAGAGGCCAATCCCAGTGGGGTGAGATGGTCCCTCAAGTAATCTAATCATGATGGTGATAACAATAGTGTTTAATACAAAAACATATAGGACTGTATATAATAATAAAAGGTCTTCCCCAATCTCATGACCTCCAGGTGAGGGCAACTAAAATAAGTGAATCTGGCTCATCAGAGGCTCGACTTCTCTATGGTGGGTTTTGCATTCATCACAATGCAACAGAGGAAAAGCTGAAAACGCTTTAAATAAATTAATGGCAATAAAAATAAAATGCAGAAATAAATTGATATTAATTATCACAATGCTCCCTCCTTTATGCCATTAAGATAATTGTAGATTTTTAGTTCAGTTGAATTTATTAGATTTGTGATGTCCTTCTACTCCTGGGTGACTTCATGATTTTATTTCACCCAGCCATTTCTAATTACGTATTTTTCAGAATATAAGACTTACTTTCCTCCCCTCCCCCAAAAGAGGGTGAAAATTTGGATGCTATTATACACCAAATGTAGCCCCGCCCACCCGCTGGCCTCCACCCTTTGGCTTCTGCCTCCCAGCAATTTGCCTCCTTACAGCAAACAGCCTGTTTCAGCTTCAGCACAGCCTGATTAGCACAAGCAGCGGATTTTCGGCCTCCCAACCATCAGCTGTTTCAGACTGCAGGGATTGCCTATTGCCACCTCCACGCGCCCCATTTTTGGCCTCCACATCCCGTTTTCCGCCATTCCAATTCCGCCTCCTTTTGGCCTCTGCGTCCCCCATTTTTGTTCCAGGCGGCGGGATCGGAACAGGCGGAAAATGGGGTGCACGGAGGCGGCAATAGGCAATTGTAGCCTGAAACAGCTGATCCTCGGGAGGCCAGTCCAACTGACTATCAGCTGCTTGTGCTAATCAGGCTGTGTTGAAACTGAAACAGGCTGTTTGCTGCACTGAGGCAAATTGCTGGGAGGCAGAGGCAGATTTTTTCCCCTTGTTTTCCTCCCAATAAGCTTGGTGCATCTTCGGAGCATCTATACTCCAAATATGGTAAGTGTTAGTGATGTTCATTGCAGTGCAATACCTATTTTTATTTTGCATATTTTTAATGCGTTTCAGCTCACCCATTATCTTTTGATCAGGATGTGCCATAAAAGCTGTAAAATAAAAATAATAATAATTTGATGATACGGCTTTTGAGGTTAGGAGGAGCTGCATTCAGTTTCTGTGGGGTCCCTTCACTTTATTTAGTGAATATTGCAGAATGCTTTTTTTTCTCCAGGAGAACATACCGTTTAACACTTAATGCCAGCAAGAATTTATTATTCACCATTTTAAAATTTGGTTTATATTCTGCCTTTCTTCTCATTCCAAAATAGTATGTAATATATTATAGTTTTAGAATAATTTGGTAAAAAAATAAAATATGACTGTATAAGGTAAATGCTTGTAATAGCAGCACCTTCTTGAGGCTACCATTATTTATTTTGTCATTGTTCACATTTGTTTGACAGTCAATGCTTCGTGGGAGAGGAGGCTGTTACAAGCACACCTTTTATGGCATCGAAAGCCATCGCTGTATGGAGACCACACCGAGCTTGGCTTGTGCTAATAAATGTGTCTTCTGTTGGAGGTAAAGATCTGCGACTGTTGTTTTTTTTTAGCAAAAACGTTCCAATGTTTGTGCCTCCAAATCATTGTAGAACTCTGATGACTGCCTGGACAAGTCCCTGCAGTTTTTTTCGGCAAGATTTTGGAAGTGAGTTGCCATTCTGAGGGAGTGCGAATGAATCAAGGTCACCCAACTGGCTTCACATGCCTAAGGCAAGACTCCCAACTCAGTCTCCCAGTCTCTAGCCTGATGCCTTAACCCAGAGGTCTCCAAACTTGGCAACTTTAAGACTTGTGGACTTCAACTCCCAAAATTCCTCCTCCAGTCAAGTTAGCTCAAGAATTCTGGGAGTTGAAGTCCACAAGTCTTAAAGTTGCTGAGTTTGGAGACCCCTGCCTTAATCACTACACCAGACTTGCTCTCTGGGATCGATTCCATCAAGGGCCAAAATGATTAAAAAGAGTGCTGCTTTAATTTTGATAGTCCTAAATTCATTCTCAGGTACATAGCATTGTTTCTTAATTATACATTTCTATTTTTCAGACACCACACAAATCCTGTTGGCACAGAGTGGCGATGGAAGATGGACCAGCCAGAGATGATCTTGAAGGAGGCCATTGAGAACCATCAGAATTTGATCAAACAGTTTAAAGGTAGGTGAGGATCCTATATGTGTTATTTTTTTTAAGAAAGTGGATCTTGAATATACGTGGGAGAAGAGAGTCTTTTTAAGTATGTTTCTATTACATCAGAGCTTCAGGTTTTTCTTTCATCCTAGGTATAAATGATTAAATTGGACCCTAGGTTCTTTTGTTTCTGGAAATTATAATAGCTGCACATTTGGAGAATTCTTGGAATTACAATAGGAGGCTATTTGGATGACATCAGATGGAAAGATAGTGTAATAAGAAAAAAACATTCTAGTTTTAAACTAGATTTAGTTATATACAGATAGTCCTCAACTTTAGACTGCAGTGGAGTCCGGAATTTCCATTGCATGTCATGAAGGTTGTAGGTTGAAGCGCCCACATGACCGATCTAATTTTACATCGTTGGCAGCAGTTGTAAAGTGAGTGCCATGGTCATTAAGCCAACACTGTAACCTTTAAGCAAACCCATTGCTCTCAACGGGCAGTCTTTTAGGAAACCAGAAGAAAAAGCCAATTTCTGTAAAAAAAAAAAACATTGTAAATCATGGTGATATGATTGCGGGATGCTGCAAACAGCTGTAAATGTGGGCTGGCATCCAAAATGTTTATCAGAATTAACAGAAAATCTGTAATGTATTTTTAAATCATGTTATGACATACACCTTTACATTCTTTTAAACCTTCCTTCTTTAATTGCAGTTTTTTTAAAAAAATACTATTTCTACTTCAATGAAAAGAAATGTAGTTATTTAGTGTAGCTAATTGAGTTCCTAATATTTCTTTATGTATTCTTTGAGGTGGGCCTCATCAATGGAGATTAGAATATTATATGATCATAACATTGTGATATATATGTAAGCTGGTAAACTAAGAACGAACAGCTTTCTTGCAGCCAGAAATTGCTGTTGTAATATATCTGACTTCCAAGAGCTGCTGAGAGAGTAGCTCACGGGAGGAACTAAATGTTTGGGCCTGTTTGGGGAGGTTTAATGGTTCCTTAAGCATCTGAAAAGCTTAAGGCATTTTAGATTATCCTTTAACTTTCAAACATCACCATAGAAAGGATTAAAAATATTGTTCTACAGGTAGTCCTCGACTTACAACAATTCATTTAGTGATCATTCAAAGTTATAAAGGTACTGAAAACAGTGGCTTATGACCATTTTTCACATTTATGACCATTGCAGCATCTCCACAGTCTCATAACCAAAATTCAGACTCCTGACAACTGGTTCATATTTATGATGGTCACAGTGTCCCGGGGTCACATGATCACTTTTTGTGACCTACCAAAGTTAATAGGGAAGCCAAATTCACTTAATAACCATGCTACTAACAGCAGCTGCAGTTATTTACTTAACAACTGTGGCAAGAGAGGTCATAAAATGGGGCAAAATTCACTTAACAGCTGTCTCTGCTACAGAAATTTGGGGCTCAGTTGTGGTCGTATGTCGAGGACTACATGTACTTCAGGAGCTCTGGAGTCACAAAAGGAGTGCAGAGAGGGGGAGATGGTTTGCCTGCCGTCTTCTGGCCCTGAATTGTTCCTCTCTGCTGCAAACTATTCTCACCAGTCTGGTTGGAAATGACTTTATTCTGTTTTTAGGAGTCCCTGGCGTGAGAGATGATCGCTTCAGAGAAGGGATGGAGGCCAAGCATTGTGCATTGTCCCTTGTTGGGGAGCCAATCATGTACCCCCAGATCAACCAGTTCCTAAAGCTGCTGCATCATCGCAACATTTCAAGTTTTTTGGTTACAAATGCGCAGTTTCCAGAGGAAATTAGGTGATAAATCCAAAGAAATGGTACCTCTTCCTTCCCATTTGTTGGTGCTGCAAAGAGATTGAATAGCATTTGTCTGATATCATGTTGGGTTTCCTGCCTGAGGGGGTTGGACTAGAAGAGACCCCCCCACCCCCCAAGATCTTTTCCAGCTCTGTTATTCTGTTACTTCAGCCTACAATTAGGATAGTGTGCGGAGAGATTCATTGTGAAAAGTAGGCAGGCCAGAGATACAGTAATGGCTGGAGTTTGGACAATAATTGACGTTGAGTGGTTTAATTAAATCAATTAAATACAGTTGGCATGATTATTTCCTTAATTAATAATTTTGCCCATTGGTCTCCCTGAAAATTGTAAATTGATAGTTGTGTTTGGAAAGACCGAGGAGCACAATAAGGATTTTGGAAAGTACAAATGGGCTTAAGATTTATGTTTCTAATTTAGTCTCTATTAAGCTAGAAGTTAGATAAGAACTACTTTCTACATTCACACTATCCCACTTTGGAACTCAGTGTCACACATGCTCTTGGAAATAATCTGGAACCCAGAGCAGCTGCCACCCAAGATACATTGAATTTTAACTTCTTTTCCCTAAAAAAAAACTTTAATAGCAACATTCCAAAGTTTCAGAGCTTTCACTGTTGCCTCCCACACAGGAATCTCCAGCCTGTCACACAGCTGTATGTCAGTGTGGATGCCAGCACCAAAGATAGTCTGAAGAAGATTGATCGACCTCTTTTTAAAGACTTTTGGCAGCGGTTCCTAGATAGCTTGCAAGCCTTAGCTGAAAAGGTATGGCATTCAACTTACGTTTGGTTCCCCCTTGACACCGAAATAATAGGTTGTGGATCTTTTATATGATCATTGAGCCATGGTGGCACAGTGGTTAGAGTGCAGTACTGCAGGCTACTTCTGCTGACTGCCGGCTGCCTGCAATCTGACAGTTTGAATCTTACCAGGCTCAAGGTTGACTCAGCCTTCCATTCTTCCAAGGTGGGTAAAATGAGGACCCAGATTGCTTGGGGGCAATATGCTGACTCTGTAAAACACTTAGAGTGGGCTGTAAAGCACTGTAAAGCAGTATATAAGGCTAAGTGCTATTGCTATTATAACATCATCAAAACCTTTATGAATTACATTCTTTGAGTCAAAAGTTCAATTACAGTGAACTGTCATAGCTAAAATAAATCTATATTCTGATTGATTGGCTTCGTGCTCTTTTCAGTGGAAAACTAAATGCTAAATTCAGCACCAGTTACCTGATTTCCGTCTGGCCCTATGCATCCAGATGTAGTCCTACTCACATCCTTTTATTTGTATTTACTACTGCATGTTGTAATTTAAAACTGCTCTCTCCCAACATTTTTAGCGACAACGCACTGTCTACAGGTTAACACTGGTGAAAGCTTGGAATGTGGAGGAGCTGAAAGCTTATTCAGACTTGGTGTCTCTTGGCAAGCCAGATTTCATAGAAATAAAGGTGAGCTGTTGATTGTTAGGGTGGGCCCTTCTTGCCTCCCACACTTCACCTTTCGTGTGAGTTTGTTTTTCAGGCATGTGTTTTATGTATGATAAATGGCAAATTTATCTAGGCCTGGTTCCAACTACTTCCACAAATATTTTGGGGCGTACTTTGCTTTTCAGTCTATACCCTGCCCCCTTATTCTACATTCTGCATGACTCAGTTTGTACCTTTACCCTTGTTCTACATTCTGTTGTGATCCGCCGGCAGCCTGCAAAGATGGCAGCAGAATCGGACAGTGGGGAAGAACATGGGCCAGTCTAGGATTCTGGGGAAGACTTGGACGAGGGTCCTGCATCTGATACAAAGATGGGGCCAGGGCCATCTGAGAGTTATGTGCTGACTGGAGCCTCCAGAATCTGACAGTAGCGAGACAGAGGAACAAGGGGAGCATGTTCCCAGTGACCGTGTGCGCAGAGCTGTCGGAAGGCAAGAACAGTTAAGACAAAAGGGGCGACTCGAGAGTAAGGCTTGGAGGTGATTGCCCCTCCCATAAGATATAAAGGAGGTGCAAAGGGACAGGAACCTTTGCAGGAAGCAATGTTGTTTGCTCTGTTTGGATTGAACCTTGAAGCTCTGTGTGGACTTTATACTTCGTTTGGCTTTTTACAGTTAATTTAGCACTTTAGTTGTTGGCAGCAATTCAGAGGAGATAAAGGTGGGTGCTTATCTCGAGAGACTGTTTGGGACTCATTACGGGCTGGGAATGAACATAATTCCCCGTGTTGAAATAAATTTGGACTAAGTGTGTGCTTAATTACGGTCTCAGGAAGCCTTGGTCAGAACACATTCTCCATGACTAACTCTGAATTAAAAGGGGCTTTGCTGAGTAGCCTGTGAATCCATGGCGGAAAGAACATTAGCCATCATGATAGAGAACATTCATGTTCAGAGACATCACTATTTGCTGAGGACAGACAATGTGAAGGCTTATTGCTTTCATGCCCTGCTTGTAAGGTTCTTGGGAATATCTGCTTGGACCTTTCATGGCTTCCAACTTAATCTATGGAGACCAGGTAGAAAAAGAGCAGGGGCAACCTGCACATTCATTTTCTATCCAGTTTGAAGTCCTTCCCATATTGAGCTGAACACCCATTCTTAGGCCAGCGTCATCTTAAAGATGTGATATTTTGATACAGGTAGTCTTTGACTTACGACTGTAATTGAGCCCCTATTATGGTCATAAGTTGTGAAGGTCTTTAAGTGGGTCGTCATGACTCTGCCTGGTTTAATGGCCTTTTTTTGTGGTGGTTACTAAGTGAATGTGGAGGTCGTAAAGAAAACCCATTGTTCACTGTGGGGTGGTGGTTTTTTTTTTTGCTGGGAACCAGAAGTAGATGCCTCTTTACAGCAACAACATAAATTGCAGTCATGTGACTGGGAGCCACTGCAAATAGCCATAAATGTGAGTTAGTTGCTGACTTCCTAAAATATGGTAACATGACTGCAGAAAGGCCTGGCCAGCAGAACTTTGAATCCAGATTGTAAGTAACTTTTTTGGAATCTGTTGTAACTTCAGTCCCATAAGTCAAGGATTATCCTCATTGCTATTCACATTTTTCTTCTCCAGCCCTCCCTCCCCCTTTATTTTATCATGTATTTATTGACTATAAGGCTGAGATAAATAACTCCTTATCTTTACCTATAATTAATTAATTTAAAGAGTAGAAGGAACCCTACAGGAACAGAAACAGCAAATTTCTAAGCCTCCTATGATTGTGGAATGCTGGGAGAGGCAGTTCAGAGTTACATTGACTTATGGGCTGTTCCTTGTATCTTTATGATTTATATTGTTTTATTTAGTTTCCCTAATACGATTTATGTTGATTGCTTATTTAAAATCTTATGACTACCACTATGAATATATTTTTATGATGACTATGATCATGATTTATCACTTATAGCTTTTATGTACACTGAGAGCTTACACACTGAAGATAGATTCCTTGTGTGTCCAATCACACTTGGACAATAAAAAATTCTATTCCTATTCTATTCCATTCCATTCTATTTTTCTATTCTATTTTATTCTATACTATACTACACTACACTATTCATAGTTGTTGCAGCCATCCGATTGCTGATCCCCATTAGAAACAGCAGTGTTCAATGTTGTTTTTCAGCAGCTGCTATTCTTGTGGCCATTTATGGTCAACCTTGTTCTGGCAAAGATAAAGCAATCCTACTTTCTGGTTTTGCTATGAAAATTCTTCTCTTTGAGTAATTTGTAATGTTACTGCACTAGCATTTCCTAACTCTATGCCAATATATTCTTTCGAAAAGAAAAATTCCCCAAAATGAATTTGAGAGACGTCTAGGGCTCTAATCTTAAATAAATGTTTCTTCAACAGGGCGTGACATACTGTGGGGAAAGTTCAGCCAGCAACCTCACCATGGCCAATGTCCCTTGGCATGAAGAAGTGACGCACTTTGTGCAAGACCTGGCTGACCTCCTCCCAGACTATGAAATTGCCAGCGAACACGAGCACTCCAACTGTCTCCTCATTGCGCACAAGAAGGTAAATTCTAAGCCTCTTCAGGTTTTTTCCTGAAACTTACAATTAGGAAGATTGAAATATGTATTATTAGCATTGTAGACTCTTTTTTTTTTCAGCTCCACAGATAGTCTTCGACTTACAACTAAAGGTAGTCCTGGACTTACAACAGTTCATTTAGTGACCGTTCAAAGTTACGGCACTGAAAAAAAGGGACTTAGGATCATTTTTCACACTTAACGACCTTTGCCGCATCCCCATCATCATAATGTGCCATCAAAATTCAGATGCTTGGCAACTGGTTCATATTTAGGACCGTTGCTGTGTCCCAAGATCCTGTGATCTCCTTTTTGAGACCTTCTGACAAGCAAAGTCAATGGGGAAGCCAGATTCACTTAACAACCGGGTTACTAACTTAGCAACTGCAGTGATCCATTTATGTGCATTGTAGCATCCCCACGATCTTGTGATTAAAATTAGGGTGCTTGGCAACCGGCATGTATTTGTAATGTATGCAGCATCCTCGGGTCATTTGATCATCATTTGCAATCTTCCTGGCTGGCTTTCAACAACCACAGTCAATGGGAGAAGCCAGGATCAACTGCATGGTTCACTTAACAACTTCCAATGATTCGTTTAACAACTCTGGCAAGAAAGATCATAAATTCGGATGTGACTCACTTAACAATCACCTTGTTTAGCGATGGAAATTCTGACCTCAACTGTGGTCGTAAATCGAGGACTACCTGTAATGATCTCGAAGGTGCTTTATGACAATTATAAACCAGTCCCCCCCCCCCCATATTTTGTTCTATTGTACTTTACTAATTTATTTGATTCTTTTTGTTAGTTTTTTTTTATTTTTAAATATGGTTTTCTATTGTGTAAGCTGCCTCGAGTCGCCATGGGGGAATAGGCAGCAATATTAATTAATTAATTAATTAATTAATTAATTAATTAAATCATTTTAAAAATAAGGGTGCTAACATTTTTGAGCCACAGGCCTCTTCGGGATTCAGGCCACGTGATTGATTGTGGTAAAACAGGGGTGTCAAACTCAAGGCCCAGGGACTGGATCTGGCCCGTAGGATGCTTAGATCTGGCCCAGGAGGCTGCCCTGGAAACAGCGAAAGCCTGGCCCACAGTGCCTCTGCCAGTGAAAATAGAGCTCAGGAGAGCTGCACATGGTATTCCCGATCTCCATTTTCGGCCAGGACGACCTCCTGCAGCCCTCTGCCAGCAAAAATGGAGCTCGTGGGGCTCTGTTTTCCCTGGCAGAGGGCTGCAGGAGGCTGTCCCAGCCAAAAAACAAAGCTTGGGAACCCATTTTTGCTGACAGGAGTGATTTCAAGCTGGCCACACCCACCCCGCTGCCATGCCCAGCCCCAGTCCCCTGAGGTCAAAACGTAACCCTGATGCGACGCTCAATTAAACTGAGTTTTACACCCCTGTTGTAAAAGGTTGCCATGGCTTTGCCAGTTTACCAAAGGCTGCCCTGTTTAGTAGGGGCCAATCTCAAAATATTCATTTAACAGAAGGACATTCTGGTGTGATGGTTCCATATTACTCTTTCAAGTCCTGCAGGATACTTTCTATCAATTCAGCTGTTCCATTTTTTTGTCTGGGCAAACAACATATTTCTAAGCGCCAGGATTTTTTATTTTTATTTTTAGTCTAAGGAGGCCTGCCAGATCTGTGATTAATTGCTATTTGGAAAATCCAAACCCAAAATTAAATGAGGCAAAGAGCATAATGATGTCACAGTGACATCTATGGATACTATGTGAGGGAGTCCAGCATTCAAGTCACAACAAGTGTAAATTTAACAATGGGAATTGCAAAAGTGAGATAAAAGAGCAATCAAAATAATAGGCATGTTATGAATACTCAAAATTGGAAATCTAATCCAACCAAGGAAAATGTGCCATGCTCCTGTTCTCCAAATGAGAAGAGATTCCCAGTTTTTTGGGCCACCTCTGGAACAATCCATAACAATAAAAAAAAATCTCTGTTTGGTGGAGCAGGCTGTACTAAATAAATTGTAACATCTGAATGGAGAGCAGGGTCAGGGAACTTGTATATAATTGAGATGCAAAATATTTGTCTATGACAGTAGATTTGATATTAGGATGTCAAAGTGGAGTGAAGAGGTTGATGTCTGTGGAGATTCTCAGTCATCCAGGTCATGGTTGTCCCAAAGGTGCTTTTTCAAGAAGAAACTGAACTTTGTTTTTCTATGAAGACATTTTCACTTCTCATCCAAAAAGCTTCAACTTCAACTGAACTGAAGGAGCTTCTTGGATGAGAAGTGAAAACATCTTCAAAGAAAAACAAAGTCCAGTTGCTTCTTGAAAAAGCACCTTTGGGGGAAGATTGACAGTAGAAGTCTTAGTACCCATAGCATTGCTTTAAGGCTGTCTGTCATACCTAAGAGACCTTCAATAAAGTTGGTTAGATAACATGTCAAACTAAAGAAAGGTTTGTTTAATTATGGGGTTTTTTGAAGAAAAAAAATGGCTGGGCTCATAATAGCACACTAATCCAAACAAGAAACAATATTATTTTTCAGTACAGCTTTCTCCAGTCTTTCTGTCTTCCAGATGTGTGGATTTTAGCTCCTAGAATTCTTAGCAGTGGTCATGCTAGCTGGGGAATTCTGAGGATTGAAATCTCTACGTATGGAGAGTGATCAGCTTGGAGAAAACTGGCTTGAGTGTGTTGTTTCACAATTTTGTCTGAATCAGTATATTTATTATAATAATATTATAATAAATAATATAATCTTTAGAGCAGGGGTTCCCAACCTGGGGTGCTTGCACCCCCTGGGGGTGCGAGACGATATTCCAGGGGGTGCGAGAAAAGTCCAGGTAAATAATAGGATATTGGCTATAAGTTGGCATTTTTATTTATTATTTATTTAAGGGGGTGCGAGGTTCGAGTGAAATTTCTTTAGGGGTGCAGGGCGAAAAAAAAGGTTGGGAACCACTGCTTTAGAGCCTTTAAAAAAAAAACAACCTCCCCTCTATTTGACAAATTATATATCTGCTTTTTCCTTTAGTTCAAGATAGAAGGGAAATGGCACACCTGGATTGACTATGATCGTTTTCAAGAATTGGTCCATGAATATGAACAGAGTGGAGGAATTAAAACATTCACTTCTGCTGACTATGTAGCACTGACTCCTCCTTGGGCAATATTTGGAGCTAAGGAAAGAGGCTTTGACCCAGTGGACACAAGATTTCAACGAAAAAACAAAATAAAGGACATCTCTGGATGCTGACAACTTTAAAATCGGACCAAACAATCAGAATTTTTGGTTTTTACACTAACATCAGAAAGCGTTGCATAAAACTTGAGACTTCTACCGTATTTCTTTTGGGGCTGTCCAAAGTGGGTTTTTTTTTCCTTTTATTCTACCCAGAGGAAAATGGTAAGTTATATGTTTTTTAAAAGGCAGGTAGATGCTATGAATTTATCCTTCCCATATCTCTAAGTGAGAGAGAGATACAGGTAGTCCTTGACTTATGATCATAATTGAGCCAGGAATTACTTCTGTCATAACTTTAAACAGTTGCTAAGCAACAGATTAAGTGTAATTTCACTTTCCACCCATATGCATCCTCCTTACTTTTCCATTTCTCATTCTAATCCAGAAGTGGACAGCTGTGCCCTTTCAGGTCCACAATTTTTGCAGTCCTCACAGCACCCAGAATGGTCATGGCCCACATTTTGTGACCTATTTTTGTCTATTCATGTGGCATTATCATCTGTGCTCCCTTCAAGCCACCTCCCCACAAAATAAAAAATAAAAAGTCCTGTTTTCTTAATTAAAGGTTTCCTTGAAATCAGTGAGGTATCTTGAGTCATACCTGTGGACTGTAGACAAAACTATTTTTATTTTCTTCCATAACAGTATTTGAAAAGATTGTTAAATCATGCAATACTGGAATGTGAAGGGTGTTTCTCCTGTTTCTCTGAATATCTGTTACAACAATCCTTATGTGCGGCAAACCTGGCCTGAATTGGCCATCTAAAAATGTTTGAAAAGACATGTGGCCCAATGGTGTATGTGTGGCCAAGCCTATATTAAATTGAAATACATTTGCTCATTGCTAGAAATTTAGCTCAATAAATTAAAAACAAGAAGTATCCCATCTCTTGGTGTGTGGATATTTTTTTTCTCCCAACTATGAATATAACAGTCCAGGATTAAAGCCTGTATCTATATTTTTTTCAGTGTTTCTTGCGGATCCATCAATTTCTGGGTTGTTTTGTTAAAATTGTTTGCTTTTTCAAATGTAACTAACATTCTTTTCCTTAATAATGTCTGCCCTACAGTAATTAGTTTTTCTTGAATTTATATATACCTTTTGATATCTGCTTTAAAAAAAGTTAAATTTTTGAAAGCAAGCAGAATAAAAATCTGAATTTCATACCTACCTTTGTGACTCAAGTAAAACGCTAATCCATTTTATTACTTTTTTGTATTATTTATAGAATGGTGGCAGCACATGAAATAATTCTGATTGACTGGAGTTCTTGCCTGAGGGTACATAAAGTCTGTCTTTCTACTGATGGGATAAGACATCCTTCCCCAGGTGGTGTCCACCCAGTTTGTTGAAACTACAACTCCCAGAATTCCTTGGCAGTCATTGGGGAACACTTGGAGGGTACCAGACTGGAAAAGGCTGGTATAAGAAGTGATAATCCCATTTCTGCAAATACCTTAAGACATGGCCATTTAGCATCTGCTGGTATCTTTTTCACCTCCCCTGTTTAGTCAAAAAAGGATTTTATAACCTTGGGAGACCACAGCAATTATTATGTTAAAAAAGACCGGGACTTTCAGCAGTAGCTGATTAAAAACAAAGCACAAATATCTCAAAATTAGAAACCTTCCCATTTTGCTTGAAATCACATGATTATTTTTTCATGACAAAAGAAGAAAACGTATTTTATATTAAAAGCCAAAATAGTTGTTAACTATGAGGAAAAACAAAGTATATTTACAGTAAGAGTTCAAGCTCTGGGTTTCCGAGAACACTTCATCAGTGACTTATGAAAAGGAAAGTAACAATTGATTTTTAAGGACTATTTAATAGTAAAGGCAATAGAAAAAAATAGAACGAAAGGAAAATGGTGCATGTGTTTTGGATTTGAAGTTTAAGATTTGTCAGTGCAGAGGGAGTGCGTGTAACTTCTCTGTGATCCCTTAAACCAGAGGTTTCGAACTCGATTTCATGGAGGGCCACATCAGGGTTGTGTTTGACCTCGGAGGGCTGGGTGTGTGTGATCAGGGTGGGCGTGGCCAGCTCGAAGTCACTCATGTTGAGGACATCTGTGGTAGCATTAGTGCTCTGCCAGTGAAAATGGAGCTTGGGGGGGCCCTCTGGAGCTCCATTTTTGCTGGCAGAGGCATTGTAGGCCGGTCCTTCACTTTTTACAGGGTGGGCCCCCAGGCCAGATGTAAGCACCCCGCAGGCTGGATCTGGCCTTGAGTTTGATACCATTGCTTTAAACTAAAAATATCTTTTCCCGAATTTGCAGTGTGCAGGGCAACCATTCAATCCATAGGACCAGTTTGGTCTAGCAGTTAAGGCATCAGATTAAAAACCAGGAGACTTGGACTAAGTTCTAGTACTACTTTAGGCATGGAAGTTGGGACAGCTCCGAAACGAAAGAGAACGGAAAGAGAGAGTGTGCCGGTTTGGTGAAAATTTTTTCTTTATTCTAAGATTTGAAAGGACACCCTAAGGAAAAGAAAATCTGTAAAAGTTTTGACAAAAGTGACTAAGCAGCGATTTTAAACAGGAATGTCAAAGTAATTTTTTTTCCCTCATTGCTGGATTTTCCACACACGTTCTTATATTTGGAAACTGGACTGGTTTTCTCTCTTCTTTATCTATTCTTTTTCTCCTTTTTGATTTTATAATATTCTAGGCTAGAGACTCCCTTTTAGTTTTTTTTTTAAATATCTTTTTCTTTTTTTAATTAATTCTTATTGTATTTTGTTTGGAAAAGGAGGGGGAAAGTGAAAGCAAAATAAACCTTGTAACACTGCCAACTAGAGGCTTGGAAAAATTCTATTTCTCTTTTGACCAGACATAGCTGAGAAAGAACTAAGACTTCTTTTCAAGGACATTGCTATTTGATAAGACAGAGGGAAGAGCATGGGAGAGTATTATTACAGGTGCTCTTCGAAAACACCCCTGATTGCAATCTATGCCCCGAATGACAATCAAGAAGAATTTTATAAAAAATTACATATGAAAATAATTGAGCTGGACTATGCTAATATAGTTATGATGGGAGATTTTAATGGAATTGTAGACAATAAACTGGACTATACAGCACAGAAAACAATAAAGCAAAACAGAAAGAATCACTACAGTTCAGGTTTCTTTTGGCATGATGGAAGGGGAATTACATTTTTGGCAATGATACCTCATGATTATGGGTGTTATAAAGCAATATTTGGGAAGGTCTCCAGAAGGTCACCTGCAGTAGATGCACACAAATAAGCCTTTGACTCTTTTGATTAACCTCGATCCTAATGCGCTAATGTCATCTAGTTATATGGAAAAATACAAGCCTAATCCGGTATAATTCATTCTCTTATAATTGCCTCCTTTATAACAGCTGGCCAAAGAAGGAAATAGAAGGAAATTTTAGCAGCTCTTTTACTTTATGCTTTTTCCTCATTTGGTTTTTGTGATTATACTATTCAGACCAGTTTGAACTTGTAATTTTAAAGAATTCTCATGAAATATTTTATTTGGTAGTTATCTTAACATAGTTTAAGATAAGATGATACTAATCTTTATTGTCACTTTTTTCTGTAAACACAGACACATTAAAAATGAAATTCTGATGCTTGCTCTCAAAATATATATACCCATACACATACATGCACATACACATAAGCTACACACACACAACATATATGTTAATCACAATATAACACCCTATTTTGTGCCTACCTAATTCCTTCTCTAGCTATTATATTTAATCAGGATGTAAGGTACAGTCAAGGATCCTAAACTTTTAAAAATGCATTTATTAAATTTCTGCATTTCTCGTCTCACCTAAGTGACTTGGCAGTTTAAAATATCATAATAACTTTGCAATAACTTCTTTACCAAAGTCAAACCAGAGTGGATTGGCGCTATATTTCCATATTGTCTTTGAATATTTCCATAACAAGAAACACTCTGAACTTCGTGTTCTACATTAAACATTGCTGAAGTCTCATTGGCCTGCTTTTCAGTAAAAAGACAGATGCCTCTTAGAGATGTCTCATTAGGTGGCCTCTACTGCCTTAGAGCCTGCTACATATATCCAACAAGGAAGGGAAAAAAAGCTCAAAACAAGAACAGTACTGTATTGGTTTTATAACAGTGTTTCTCAACCTTGGCAACTTTTAAGGTGAACTTCAGCTCCCAGAATTCTCCAGCTAATGTGCACATCAAATAAATGAAATTAATATTAGAAGCTATTGCCTTGGTTCTATCCATCATTTCTTAGGGCACAATCCAAGCATACAATTGCCTGGAGTCAGTTAATTTAGCAAAGTGACACTAACACAACTTTGGGGAGCTATTTTTGGATCCTGGGCCCTAGTTGACACTGGAAGTCTTGCAAAGGCTGAGCTTCTGTTGTTTTCAGAATTTTTATCTTACACAATTAAAGTCCCTCCTATCAGTCTATTCCTGCGCCATCACCCATTAAGGTGGCTGGGATTAGTAGACTATCCTAAAGCCCCCATTCTGCTTTCCTTTACAAATTCAGGGGAAAACACTTCACTTTTTTTTTTTTTACAGCACGTGAGAAGGAGTTTTAATGGAGACTGAATTTGTGTTTTTTTTTTTAAATATTACCAATTATTATTTTACAAACCTAGAACTACGCTGCCTTCGGTTCAATCTAAGTATAGTATATAAAATCATACATTGCAATGTCCTACCTGTCAATGAATACTTCAGCTTCAACCATAACAACACAAGAGCAAACAATAGATACAAACTCAAGATTAATCGCACCAAACTTGATTGCAGGAAATACGACTTCAGCAACAGAGTGGTCAATGTCTGGAATACTCTACCTGACTTTGTGTTTTTTTACCCCAAAACCCGAAAACTTTAACCTTAGACTGTCTACTATTGACCTCACCCCTTTCCTAAGAGGTCTGTAGGGGGCGTGCATAAGCGCACCAACGTGCCTACCGTCCCTGTCCTAGTTTCTTTTATTTTTATTTTTCTTATATGTATCCATGTATTCATAACTGTTTTTTACTTATACCTATTATCTTGTAAGCAATTGACAAAAATAAATAAATAAATAAAAATAAAATAAGCTGTTTAGAATCTGATGAATCGGGAAGCGGCAATGTACGTATCTGTAAAATAATAAGGCCAACTTGTAAGAACTTTTAAACTGTATCTTGCTTAATGTTTGCTGCTCCTTAGTCTCCGATAAAGTGTGCTCCTTCCTCGGGCGCATAAGCAAGCATTTGAAAAGCAATGCCGATGGAGATCGGTGAGATAAGATTCCCAGCGGGCGCGGGGCAACCTTCCCCTCCTCATTCAATTGCTTCTTCCATCGCTTCTTCCTCCCACTTTTTTCCGGGCAGTCGGGGTGGGGGGGAGAGGAGGAGGAGCGCTAGACTCCAGCCAATCCGGTGGGCGAAAAAGAGCCGGCGCCTCATTTGAAATCTTGCAGGAG